GGAGCGGAGGAAAAACCAACTCCTGAAGCTGCAGCTGATGCTGCGGATGTGAACCCAACTACAAATGAGGGTGTGCCTGAAGACCCTACTGCAAATTTGGGCAACGCAAGTGAGCTTCAGCCTGAAGGTGGGTCCTTAACCACTAAAAACAAGGACCATGAGGCTGACATGTGATGGCATTAACAAATCCTATTTCTGAACATTACCTATTTAGTATTTCTGATGTGTTATTTCGTTTAATATTTTGGACAAGTTTGTTATTTAATATGCTGACATGAAAAGGTAGTAGTACTTGGTTTATAATTTTAATATAAAGTAGTATTTGTAATAGAATACAGTTAGATGGTGTTTTATAAATATGTTTAGAATTTTATTTGATGGTAGTTCACAAAAACATTTAACTTACTTAAAAATATGGAGTACATGTTTTGGCCAGAATAAAAGTTGGCCATTACATAATGTTTCTAACTCATTTAGAATACTGATTCAGAAAAAGCCTATTTTTGCATTATCATTAATCACATTAGGTAAAAACCTATTTTTGCATAATTAACAAATAGGGAAAATCCTATTGTTGCATTATCATTAATCACTGTATTATCATTAAAGCCATTGTAAAGTACTCAATTATCAATGTATTTTACAATTAGGGAAAAGCCTATTTTTGCATTATCATTAATCACATACCCTTTTTATATGAATAGGTTTTATTAATATCTGTAAAAATGGAGCACATGATTTGGCCAGAATAAAAGTTGGTCATTACATGTGTTTGTGACTCATTTAGAATACTGATTACTCAAATAGGTACATTGGGGAAACGACTATTTTTGCAATATCATTAATCGCATTAGGTAAAAACCTATTCAATTGACTACATGTTACTATTGATCTCTAAAGTTGTTTACAGAAACACTTTGGACCCAAGAAATAATTTCAATGAACTTTGTTAAAAAAAGGAAAAAGATTAAAAAAAGAAGAAAGAAAGATACAAAGAACTTGGTTAATTGTTACAAGTTACAACTCTTACAATGTTGTTGGAATTAAAAATATTTGTGTTATGGCAAGAATAAAGGTTGGTCATTACATAAGTGAATGGTATATACGTATTATATGTTATTAAAGTTTAACAGAGTAAAAGTACGAAAGTACCGTGTTCAATTTTTTTTTTTTTTTTTAGCAGTAAAAAATTATTGATTGGCATGAAAGTTACGCTTTAATAGTTCTATTGTGGTATAAAATTGTTTGCAGAATTGCTTCAATTGTATTTGGGTAATATGTATAATTATTATTTGACATCACTCATTACTAATGGAAAGATAAAAGTAGTTTACACAACTTGCATATGAATAAAGTAAAAAAAAAAAAAAAAAAAAAAAAAAAAAAAAAAAAAAAAAAACTCTTTGTAAACACTAATGAAATTTGTAAGGCTTGAACTTTTATTTATGTTGTCCATAGTTAATAAAGGTAAATACTTGTAAAACAATTCCAAAACTAAAAGATACATTGGCATGAAATTCAGCTGGATTTAGCATCAATAAACCTCTCGATGTTACTTTCATCATTGTTCTTGCTAGGCAGAAGTCTTGCTAGGTACTTTAATCGTTCAACACGCATGTCATTTGTCTGGTCAATGACACAAATGAGAGTTATTAATTGTGCCACAAATTATATATAAGTTTCACAAAGAATAAAATTTGATCTGTACTCTGTAAGTAATGTCCTTCATGGCGTTGATATCACCACACTCGATGTATTTCAAAACAAACATTCCACCATCATGATTGTATACCAAAAATTATTTAAATTAGGATTATTTAAATTAGAACAATGAAAACAATCTAGTAAAAGGAATGTTGTTGGATATACTTGTTTGACTGTGTTAAAAAAGATAAAACGTCAATTGTAATACTATTGAAATCTTTAAAAAATTGACCCAATGGATTTCTCCGCATTGCATTGCAGGCACACTTAATCTAATCACAATTTTATCAACCATGTTAATCACACAATCTGTAACAATAAAAGTACTGCCATATAGTCAAGTAATTACCATATCCGTAGCAAGATTGTATCTATTGTCTGTAACCAGTAGTGAATCAACTACCCACACCTTTTTTATTTTGACATGAAACACCAATAGGAACAAATGATTTTCTTCTATTTCCATAACGGGTATGAATATCTGATGACAAACAACATTTTATGGCTCACTTATCATCAAAGATCATCAAACAACATTTTGTGGCTCACTTAGACAAAACTTGTAGTATATGTTAAATATCTCAAACCTGTTCAATCTTGTTGAGATCCCCAGACAGTATAAATGGTTCAAACACTTTGGAACAATAATTGAGAATATATGGAGTCATGTAATGCGAGCACCTTTTGTCTGACTTCAGTACTAATGTCTACACGCATCATGTATAATTTATAATTTATGAGTTTAGCAAATAAAACTTTTATTCCCATTTTATGTAAAAGCCAATGTACCTGGAATGCTGCTGGCAATATCAGTTTAGTTGGGTCATGTAACCCATTTGTATATCATACAAATAGACATTTATAAGCTGCAATTAAAATAGTTAAAATAAAAGTGTCATGTCATGTTCCACAAAACAAATAATGTCCCAGAAAAAAAATTCGATTTGAAATTAGTAACAATAGTATACCTGATTAGTAATCACATTATCCGGATACAAACACCAATATTCACCCACAGTCAACCTGATAATTGATTTATTTTTAGCACAATAAAATTCCTCACTGTTCTCATCTTTGTGAACATTCACACATATTTGTTTCTCCAAGGAGTCAAAATGTGATACATATTCAAGAAATAAAAATTGTGTTGAATGTTCTTCATTAAACCGTAACACATCCTCATCATCATCACTAGTATGATCCTCTTCAGGTATTGCATTAGAAGTGCATTCCTTCCGCATTCTTGATTTGCATAATTGGGCCTATGGGATTAGTAATAATTTAATATGTAATTACAATTAATTATATTACTGAAAACCATTTTGTTTGTAGTCGGCACACAAAATGGTATGCAGTGAAAATATGATGAAATTACCTGTGCACCTTGAGCCTTTGAATTTCTTTTATTCCCCTTTTTTGGCTTTGCTGATGATGATTCTTGTGTCTGTAAATAGGGAGGAATAGTTAATAGGTCAGTCGTTAAAAATCAGTAATGTAATGACCAATATTTGATTTAGTGATTACATATTTACCTTTTTCATATTCACATTACTGTTATCATCAATCTGACTCAATTGCCTTAGTCTTGGCCTCCTAAGCGGCCACTACTAGAAAAAGGCCCATTTCCGACGGAAAAATTCCGACGAAAACACCTTGAAATCCATCGGAAAAGGTGTTTTCGACGGAATTCCGTCAAAAAAGGTTGTCGGAAATGCCTTGGTAGGAAAAACCACCTTTTCCGACGAAAATTCCGTCGGAAACACTATTCCGAAAAAATTTTCCGTCGCAAGACAATTTCTGGTACATGCGAATTCCGTCGAAAATTTCCGACGGAATTTCCAATTCGGTCGGAAATTTCCGACGGAAATTCCGTCGGAAACTATTTTCGGGAAATTAAAAAAAATACGTCGTGCCACCACTCGCACGGCTGATGTGTCTATTTTAATTATGATTCTACCCCCGTCCCTTGGTCATAATAAGTAGTGTTTTTGGCTCTTTAGAGCCAATTTTATTACTAATTTTTGTTTTTCACTGTTTTCGTAGATTTGGTTGACTTTTGTAGGGATTTATGCTTTTGGAGTATTTTCCCGAGATATTTTGGAGCAATCACGAGCATTGGAGAAACACGACCAGAGTTTATAGCCCAGGGCCGGTTAGAGACATCGAATCGGTGATTAAGGGCTCGGTATAGGTGATACCAGGGCATTTGGACCGAGTATTCAAGACCCAAAGAGGAAACCCAGATTGGCCTGAAGAATTGGAGCCCAATCGAAGTCCAAATAGTGGCCCAAATGATCCGCCCGGCCAAAAAAGCTGGCGCCCGGAGGCGCGCTTGGCCGGGCGGGAGAAGCGCCTGGTGATGTGCCCGGCCGGGCGCGAGATTGCTATTAGAGATAAAAAAAGGCGCGCCCGATCGGGCGGTGCCTCGCCCGATTGGGTGCGTGTATATTTAGGAGACGATTAGCGTCGTTTTAATTTGTTTTGGTTTAGGATTTTTGTACGGAGTATAAATACTCCCTTGTAATACGATTTTAGCACTTCTTCTTCTTCTCTTAATTCTTCTTCCTTAGACTTCCTCTCTCTACTTAGACTTCTCTCTCAAAACTCTCTCTCTAAACCTTTGTTTTTATTTCTTTGATTAATTCCAGATTATTTTGGTAACGATTTCTCTTCCCTTAATCTTTGTTATTTATTTTATTCCTTTCATCATGATTTATTTTGACGATAAGTTTTTGTATGTTGTGGTGGAAAAAGCATATGTTCCCAACCTGCCACAGTGCATCCTACAACTTCTAAGATTCAAATAATCATAAGTTTTTGTATGTTGGACATAGATCTGTGGACTGTTTGGGTCTACAGGCACTAAACCAGGGTCTGTTGAGCAGAGGAATTCATCATTTTTGTGTATAGTTGTATTCTATTATGTGTATAGACTGAGTAGGAGCCTGTTCCACAAAATAGATTTTCAAAAACACAAAAACAAGTAACCCAGACACCTTCTCAATGGAAAAAACAGACCTATATCTTGTAATATGTTTCTTACAAATGTGCACAGAAACAGAACCAGAAAAAGAACCTGAAAAAGCTCCTAATAGAAAAAGGCATCGAGGTCCAACAATGCTACCCAAGGTTCATGCACAAACAAGAGACGAGCGTGAAGTTATTATTTTAAACTCACTTGGCCAACCAGTTGGACCTACACGGAAAATTGTTCAGGAGTTCAAGCAATTCTTAGGTACTGTGGCAAGGGATTCTGAACTTGCACCACTAAATTATATTAACTTTCCAAGTCTACTCACACTTGACAAAATGTGGGAGTATGTCCAAGTACGTAGTGTTATAATTCATTTTGTTGGATTTCATTTTCTACATAATTAATTCCACGTTAATAATTGGACCTCCATATGCTACATACATGTTACATACTTATGTTTTATATTCATGATTTGTTTAGGAAAAATATATGGTTCCTGAAGCTGGAAGAGAATGGGTGATGTAGGCTATCAATGGAAGCTGGAAAGCTCATAAATGCTTTACTAAGAGGAACTACTTCTCTGCATATCCCACTGATGCTTTACGATGGTTTCATAAGCCAGACACAATTTCAGAACCTCAATTTAGAGAGCTTTTGCAATACTGGCATTCTAAAGAGGCTGAGGTATTATGTATATGGTTTTGAGCTGGTTTTGTGCAATATTGACATAGTTTCATGACAAAAAAAGTCACTCTTTCAATTTACTGTTTTTAAGATCGCCTTTGTTTCCGGAGTTGTTTTTACTTTGCAAGCTACTATTTACTTTCATAGCCTGATATAGATTATGTCTTGCTTGGGTTATGAGGCCTGATATAGACTATTTACATGATTTTTGCTACCATCTTTCCTATTGTATTAATAGTAGAAAGTAGATACTTATTCGATATTTTACGTGGTTCAAATTTATAAATCTTGATTGTGTTTTCACATAGGAAATCAGTAAAATCAACAAAGACAATCGCCAAATGTTAGATGATATGCACACTATGGGCCGTAACTCTTACGCAATTTTACGCCATAAGTTGGTAAATAATTCATCTTATTTCTAGGCAATTTTATTAACTTTATAATCTTTATTTTACAATCACTACATGTACATGAGACTTTCACCCTTGTCCTTTAATTATTTGTAATAATCACTTCAATTTTATGTATTTATGTTTCCACAGAAACAACAGGATCCTGATAAGCAAGAACCTTCTCAAGCAAGGGTCTATAAGGAGTCAAGAAAAAGAACGGTGGGAAGGAAATACCTTACCAACCATGAAAAAATAGAAGAGAATATTGTGAGTTAACATTTTAGATGTATGTTATATTTTTTTAATTTTGATAAATAATAAGTAGGTGGCTTTATTTCCGTAAATAGGCTAAAATGGATGCTTTAGAGTCTTCCCAACATGAAGATCGAGATGGTAGTAACTCCAAGGACCCTTACTCTGAAGTGATTCCAGATCCTAAGCGCAAAAGCCGTGTACGCTTACAAGGAAAAGGTGTAAAAAAGTCGGATTTGAAGAAAAAAGATAAAAAGTCAGATTTCATATTTCGGACAGAATTTTTAGAAAGTATGCAATCTCAATTAGTACAACAACTTGCACCAAGCGTAACAACTGCAATTTTGACTCAACTTCGGGATGCTAACCCTGGGATCAATCTTGTTATTCCTGATTTTGCAATTCCATCGGCTCCAAAGGATGCATCTAGTGCGCCACATCTTCTTGTTGACCAAAATGGGAAATCTTCTAAATCTGGTGCCACAATTAATCAGGTAACATAAAATATTTTCTATTGCTTCTCTCTAGCTTTTTTTTTGTTTGCTGGTGACCTGGGAACCTACTGTTGAAAATGTTGAAATGTTGCTGCTGTTGATGTCTTTTTATAGCTTGCTGCATTTCTAAATTATCAATCAATAAGGACAAGATTCTTGAGTTACTACTCATACTTTCTGTTTTCATCATCCAATTCCTAACCCTCAACTTTTTCCTATTTCCACCTTTTTGAGAAAGGTTACGCATGTTTGAAGAAACTTAATACTTGAAACAGCTCCACCTTTTTTTTATAGCATGTCAGGGTCTGTAAAAAAGACATACAAATTACAAAGGTATGAAAGTATAAACGATTCGAGCATGTAAATTTTACAAAGTGTTCCTCAAGTACTGTACAACAAAGTAAATAATTGCTAAGAATAATGCAATCTGGTACAAATCCCTTTGGTAGGAGTCATCCTTTTGAAAGAACTGTAACATAAAAAACAAACACTGTCAAGTTTCAATTAACAACTAGAAAATCATGCTTCAATCTTCTACCATAAGTTACATTATATTGTATCGTGTCATTTTCTACCTTATATGAGCAATTTATGACTGATAATGTCTAATTGTTGATAGCAAGTAAAATGCAGATAGTGAGTAGTCGAGTGTAACAACTAAGGTCTTGTTATCTTCAACTTATTAATCAATAATTTAGGAAATGAAGTTACCTTGGTGGGATCACCAGAAGGGTCAGGGTATATCTCAATGTTTTCCTTAGGGGCAAAGACCTTGCTACCGAGTTTTTTAACAGAATCAACCACATCCTTCCCAGCTTCTTTCGTTGCAAAGAGGCGGCGAGATGCCCAGAGGTCTATTATAATTTATAATTTAGTTTAATTATATTTCTTTTATTTTTTTCAATTTTACGTGTAGGTGAATGGGGAGTCAAATGGAGCGGAAGTATAGTGACTAGCCATCTAACAAATGGTGCATATATGTTGGCGACTCTTATTCAAGTTCCGGCTTTGTGAAGATTTGGATATTTCGGCTTATATATATGTTGACAATTTGTATTTTGGACGATCAAATTAATTATCTAACTTTTATTTATTATTTGTACGGTACGTATGTCATACCAAAAATAGGCAAGTAATATTTTGTAATGTACGTATTTTTCATTATAATTATTATATATAAATGATACTTTAATTTGTTTATGTTAGCATATTTAGATTTGTACCGACTAATTAATATTATATTACCATTCACCCAACAAAATAAAAATAAAAAACCCAATGATCAATCCGTTGCAGTAGATACGTACTCTTACCATTATTGTATCAATTAGCTTCATCCGTTGCAATAGGTTCAATTTCATCATAATTATTAGTCAGTACTCTATTGCCACGGATAATTTATGCCGTTGCAATAGGTTCAATTTCATCATAATTATTAGTCAGTACTCTATTGCCACGGATAAGTTATGTCGTTGCAATAGGTATTGGTCTATTGCCACGGATCAGTGGTGCCGTGGCATTAGGTGTCATAAGACGTTGCATTAGACCTACTGCAACGCCAGCAGATGCTACGGTACATGGCCGTTGCATTAGGCCTAATGCCACAGATTTTGACGCCTAATGCAACGGATTTAGGGGTTGCAATAGATAAAAAATGTAGTAGTGCAAAGATTTGCGGGATTGTGTTTTTTGGGCAGGGCCGAGCCTCATAACGCTCAAACCAACGAACTAGCTATAATAGGGCACTATGTATACGGGTTCGGGAAATTGAACATAGGCAGGTTTATAGTTCACCACCTGAGTCGGCATGCCACAGCCAACACCACTTCCAAGTCCCCTATCCGTTTAGGTGGCCTTATCACTCGAATAGCGGTGAAAAAGGCCGGTTTTGTAGTAGACGGACCCCACCAGCTGACTAACTGTGGACCAGATACCTACATGACTGCTAGGTATTTTGAGGATGTGGGGTGGGTTAGGCCGGATAGCGAGCAGACACCCTTTTTGTGTATACAGACTGGGAACGAGCAACCTTTGCCCATTTTTCCCCTTCCCAGTCCAGACTTGACCGCCTTTCCCCCAGGGCAACTTTCTTACACCTATGATGCTTTAGTTGCCAACGCTAGGGGACAGGCACCACCACCACCAGTTCCACCACCCCAGCCTCAGCCCGAGGTGGCTTTCTCTCCACCTCGTATGTCCAATTCAGTCCCCCATGTTGACTCTGACCCAGTTTGGGATTTCCAGAGTATAGGTCAGGCCCTAGGACGTATTGAGCATTCATAGACTGACCTTAGGAGGATGGTAGGCACTATTGACCAGAGGTTAAGGTACCTGGAGAGGAACCAGGGTAGAGCTCTCTACCCTATGTACGATGATTATTCTCGTCGGGGCAACATTCCCGACGACGCTATTCACCCTGACTAGTTTCAGCCTCCAACCCAGGGGTACGATAGGGATCCCACTGCCCGTGGTATTTACTCTGACTATTCTTCCTTTTTCGGGTACGGGCAGGACATACCTTTCGGGGGACTGGCGGGGGGGGGGGGGGGAGTTTTCACGCTGACTATTTTGGTGGTAGCTCTTCTGGTGCAGGTGGTGCAGGTGGCAGTGGAGGTGCGGGCTTCGGCTCGATGGACGAGGATGATGAGGACTAGCTATGCTGGACTAGTTTCCGAGCCAATGAGGACATTGTCTGATTCTGGCTTGGGGGAGATTTTTGTTTGGTATTTTTCTTTCTATTTTCTTTTATTTTTGGTGTGTTTTCTTAGGTTAGTTTTATTGCTTTCTTTATATATGAAAAATACAAAAAATTGAAAAATAAAAAAATCCAAAAATACGTTCCAATGAATTATAAATTATGTTTCCCTGTGCCCCTTACTTTAGAAAATTGTTTTGATTCTTGGTATTTGATGATAAGCATTATGGATTAGTTGATCATGATATGATGTTTGATTGCCTTGAAACCTTTACATGCGTCAATTTTGTCCAACTACTTGTGAATATAGTGCTTGACTAGTTGTTTTGGTAAGGAATGTGTGATAGTTCCATAATTCCTGGTATGTCAATGAATTTGAGTATTGGTTTGCAACTATAAGTAATGTTTATATGATTCATTATTATGCACATTGAGGAGGACGAAGGCATTTGTTCTTTTAGGTAGCCTCCAGATGATTGTAGATACATTTGTTCCCTTCTTGCTACCCATGTTGTTGCCTTGACTTTTTGTTGTTTATTAGCCACATTACAAGCCTATTTTGCCCCATTGGTTACTAGTCCCAAGCTTGGCTTGGGGGAGCTATTAGTGAGTGAGGTGAGGGAGTTTGTAGTGTGCTTATTATTTGCACAATTTGGATGGGCTTTTGAGAAGTTGTTTGTTTTTTTTATCATGTTTATTTTTGATGAGTTTGAGTGTTATATTTTCTTGGAAAATTAAAGCATGATGTTATGAAAAAAAGAGAAGTTCAAGGAAAAGAATGTGAAAAAATATAAGTGAACTTCAATAGAAAAAAAAGAAATGTTTAAATGATCTAGTTGGAGGTTGATCAAAAGAAAAAATCTGAGCCTCAATGAAATTCAAGTTTGGAAAATAAAGATTGTTTATTCACTCTACTTCTTCATTATTATACCATATGAGTGAAATTGTAAGAGTTGGGATTATTTATTATGATTGGAGTATATTTGGTTGATGTTAGAGTTGGTTAGGTAGGAGATGTTGATCATTATTTATTTTGATCATGGGCTTTATTAGGATTTGCTCCCTTAAGCATAGCTTTACTCTCACTTGTTCCCAAATGATTCCTACCCTTTACCCTAGCCTTACATTACAAGCTTTAAAGACCTTCCGACCTTTGTGCATAGAATTGTATGAATGTGAAAGTGTTGTTTATCAATGCAAGCTATGATTTGGCATATTTCGAGTCGACTAGTAGGATTGAGCGTTCATTGTTTTTATACACACGAGAGTGTGAGTTGGGAGGGCATTGTTCACATTAAAGGGGTAGATGGAGAGCGATTGAGTACATCTTTTACTCGCCACATAAATGAGAGTCGAGTGTGTGAGCACTAGTCTTGAATTCTATATGCTCTTGTGGTTTGCTCTGTTTGACAATTGTTAGGGAAGAAAGGTAATTGGATGGATTTGATTGGTTGACTCTGAAGCGTGTTTATTTGGTTTACCCTGGATCGTTGGTGCTTGATTTTTACTTATTGGGGTGAAGCATATTTATTGATTCATTGATGAGATCTTTGCTTAGGGACAAGCAAAGGTTTGGCTTGGGGGAGTTTGATGTGTTTATTTTTATTATGATTATACCCCGTCCCTTGGTCATAATTAGTAGTGTTTTTGGCTCTTTAGAGCCACTTTTATTACTAATTGGTGTTTTCCAGTGTTTTCGTAGATTTGGTTGACTTTTGCAGGGATTTATGCTTTTGGAGTATTTTCCCGAGATATTTTGGAGCAATCACGAGCATTGGAGAAACACGACCATATTTTATAGCCCAGGGCCGGTTAGAGACATCGAATCGGTGATTAAGGGCTCGGTATAGGTGATACCGGGGCATTTGGACCGAGTATTCAAGACCCAAAGAGGAAACCATGATTGGCCTGAAGAATTGGAGC